AAGAGCGTCTGCAGGACACCATCACAAACTTCTCTCCCAGCAGCACTCTGCCTCTGGCAGATGGGGTGCTGGGCTTCATCCACCACCAAATCATCGAGCTGGCGCGTGACTGCTTGGCAAAGTCCCAGGGCGCTCTTATCACCTCCCGCTACTTCATGGAGCTGCAGGAAAAACTTGAGAAGATGCTCCGAGATGTGAGTACAGCACAGTTCCCTGCCCGATGTCATCTCCTGAGGCCACTGGTAGATGCCTGGCTTCTGTCTGCTCTCCGGCAGGCTCAGGAGCGTTCGGAGAGCGAGGAGGTGAAGTTCATCGACCAGCTGGTGAGGAAGCTGCTGATCATCATCTCCCGTCCTGCTCGCCTTCTGGAGTGTCTGGTGAGACATAGCAGCTCCTGATCTGCCTTGTCTTTCATGGGCTTTGCCTCCTCTCTGGGCGGGCGCAGACCATGAAAGACAAGACATCTTCTCATCACCTTGCCTGGTCCACCATGGGAACCGCTGCTCCCACCATCCTGGCAAGGCTGTAGCAAGGAGCTAAGACCATTCCTAGCATTAAAGCCATTTCGCAGAGGGGAGAAGCTGTTTTTTCCTAGTGGAGCAGGGAGATGCGAACTTCTTGGCAAGCTTTCTCATCCATTTTCAGGGGTTTTTTTCAGCTGTTGCGCTGAATTTCTGAAGCGCTCGCCTTTGTGCTGTGGTTCCTGCAGCTGGAAGAAGGAGATCATGGGGCTTTATTTTTTTCCATCAACACTTTACGTTGGGAACGGTGGTGGAAACAGGAGCAGAGCATTTAGCTTTCTCCTCTAAGCATCCAGAGCCTGTCCCCAATTACAGATGTCACCTGCAAAGCTTGGAGGAAAGGCTTAAGTTTGCAAAGTCTTGCTCCTTAACTGTTCTTGGTTTTCCCCATCCAGGAGTTTGACCCGGAGGAGTTTTACCATCTTCTGGAAGCTGCAGAGGGACATGCCAAAGTTGGCCAGGGAGTAAAGACCGATATTCCCCGATACATCATCAGCCAACTGGGGCTCGTCAAGGACCCACTGGAGGGTAGGGAAGCGCTTGGGTTGGTGGCCCTGAGATTTGCAGCGGGGTGTGGACTCCCAGTTTGGCCACTGGCAAGCATGAATGAGCGCTGGGAGGTGGCAGGGAGACCGGCAGGGCTGAGCTGATGTCATGGGGTGGGTCACAGCAGGACCAGGACAATGTCCAAGTCTCCTGGCCAGCCCCACATCCCTCGTAATTGCTCCCAACACGCTCAGCAAAGCAGATTAAGCTCAAGAACACTTAATCCGTAGGAAGCCACGGCCTTGGGGGGGGAACCATAATCCCTGAAGAACACAGGAATGACTATGGAAAAAAGAGAATTACGTAAATGTTTAGCCTCATGTTGAACCTCTTAAGGCCGTGACCTGAATTTCTCCATGTGATAGCTCGAGCAAAGCGTGTGGCTACATCTCTGCGGGATCTTCAAGTTTGGAGGCACAGTGGTTGGTGGGAGGTTGTTCTGGTGGGGGTTTGAGCATGAAGAAAACCATCCCTATCTTCTGCAGAAATGGTCCAGCTGGATCACTTCGACAGCGGGAACACCATCACGCCGGAGAACGATGACACCTGTGAGGTGCGTGTCCTGCCTGCTGCCTCCAGCTTTGTCCTGCCTCACCCCACACCAAAGCCCCTTGCAGCAGCCCCTCTGCTGTCTTAGGCTGGGAGATGTTAATTTGGGTTGTCCCCAAGGGTGACTGCTGTATTCAGGTGTAATATCTCACAATCCCTCCAGTGGCTTCTTGAGTGGACAGAGCTCAGAGTGGGCTCTTGATCTGAAGGGCATCTTGGTCTTCTGGTTTGGGGTTTGTGGCTGGAGAGGGCTCAGGGAGGGATGTCTTGTGGCAGCAAGGAGCGCTCAGAGGTGGTACATAATGGTGTTTGGTGAATTCCTACCTGCACTCAGAGGGCTGGCATGCCGGGAAACATTAAAAACCTTCCGTGTCTTCTTCAGAGCCAGCCTTCGGTCACCGCTCCTCGGAGGAAGCCCTGCGAGGGGGACTTTGAGACCATCAAGCTGATCAGTAATGGGGCTTACGGGTGAGTTGGGAAGTTCCTAACACTTCTCTCCATCTGTAAACATCTTCAGAGTCTTCCATGTCCAAGCTCCATGGTGCTGTGTGGTCAGTCCTGGTGGCTGGGGGACGTGTTTTGAGGTCCAGCCATTTCGCTCTCTCCTAGGGCCGTGTACCTGGTGAGGCACAGGGAGACGCGGCAGCGCTTTGCCTTGAAGAAAATCAACAAGCAGAACCTCATCCTGAGGAACCAGATCCAGCAGGTGTTTGTGGAGAGGGACATCCTCACCTTTGCGGAGAACCCCTTTGTGGTCAGCATGTTCTGCTCCTTCGAGACAAAGCGACACCTCTGCATGGTGATGGAGTACGTGGAAGGTAAGAACGGGATTCAGGGCTGGAAGGACGGGACAATATCAATGTTTGAGCACTGAGGGCACCACCCAGACATTTCCTGCCCTGCTTTGCTCCAGGGAGTGGAGGGAAGCATAAGGAGACGCTCTGGTGACTCTCACCTTGAGGAAGGTGGTAGCCATGCTCACCTAGGAAAGCGTTTGTGCCCCGTGCCCAGGGATCAACACTGCTCCGAGGACGGATGGGAGGGTCTGGCTGGGAGCCTGCTCAGCAGGAGAAGCAGCGGAGCCCTGCCCAGTGAACTCCCTGCTTTCTCTGAGCCCCCCATGCTCAGGAGAACCCGTGTCCCCACAGGGGGGGATTGTGCCACGTTGCTGAAGAACATGGGCCCGCTGCCTGTCGACATGGCGAAGATGTACTTTGCCGAGACCGTTCTCGCACTGGAGTATCTCCACAACTACGGCATCGTCCACCGGGACCTCAAACCCGACAAGTGAGGATGTGGGTCAGGTCTGAACAAGGATGGCGTTGGGTTTGGGTGGGGACGGGAGAGGGACTGATCCAAGCCAAGAGGGTTAAGGCAGAATGAGGTCTTGGGTTTTGGTGCCCGAAGACCTGGTTCTGTGCTGTTGCATAAGGACCAGAGGTCATGCTCAGGTGTCCCCAGAAGCAAACGGTGTCATCAAGGGGCACCTGTCTTCTCTTTCAGTTTGCTCATCACCTCCATGGGCCACATAAAGCTGACAGACTTTGGGCTGTCAAAGATTGGCTTGATGAACATGACAACGAACCTCTACGAAGGACATATGGAGAAGGACACTCGGGAGTTCATGGACAAGCAGGTACAAGGTCCCGCTCCACTTGGCTGGGCTGCCATCACCGGGGACCAGGATAGCCTCGGGTCCTGTTGCAGAGGTCTTTGCAGAGGTGTCAGCACTGCTTCCCATGCAGGTGTGTGGCACTCCGGAGTACATCGCCCCAGAAGTCATCCTCATACAGGGCTACGGGAAGCCCGTCGACTGGTGGGCCATGGGCATCATCCTCTACGAGTTCCTGGTGGGCTGCGTCCCCTTCTTCGGAGACACCCCCGAGGAGCTCTTTGGACAGGTCATCAGTGGTGAGTTTCGGTGGCAACTTTGCTCCTCGTTTTGCTCCTGCCAGCAGTTGTGGCTCGTCCTTAACACATGGAGAGCTTCATTCCTTCATTTCATACATGGTTGAGTGGCAAGGAGGCTCCTCAAGCTTTGATTTCGCAGTTTGGGGGGATGCTTTCATCTGCTGCAGCTCCTGAGGGACTTTCCTCGTGCCCAGAAGTGACTTCTCCTGCAACCTGGCATTGTCACAGCCCCTGTTGTGTCCAATCTCTTCCAGCCACTCCAAAATCCTTTCCCTTTTTCCTTGCAGATGAAATTATGTGGCCGGAAGGGGACGAGGCTCTTCCCGCAGACGCCCAGGACCTGATCACGCGGTTGCTCAGACAGTGTCCCCTCGAGCGCTTGGGCACCGGTACGCGCGGCACCCCGACTCAGATCAAGCTTACATGGCACCAAAGCGTGTCCTGCCACACTGAGGGTGCTCGGAGGAGGTCCCCTGCTCCGGGTTCACCCCGGGAAGGCAGCGCTGGGCTCCGATCCATCCTGTTTTACACCATTCGCTCTGCATGGAGGCACCGTGCCGTTCGGGGTGGGAACTGGAGCATCCCGGCTGCTGCCCCGTCCCCCTGACATGGGTTTCTCTGCCTGGCAGGCGGTGCGCACGAGGTGAAGCACCATTCCTTCTTCCTCCACCTGGACTGGAACGGGCTGCTGCGGCAGAAGGCCGAGTTCATCCCCCAGCTGGAGTCAGAAGATGACACCAGCTACTTCGACAGTGAGGCCACATCCGTCCCCTTTCCCTCCCTCTGCCAACCCGTTATCCCAGCTGCAGGTCCGATGCTCCCATGGGAGGTCGTAGAATCATTAAGGTTGGAAAAAACCTCCAAGATGATCAAGTCCAACCATCAACCCAACACCACCACGCCTGCTAAACCATGTCCTGAAAATCTCCTGGGTGAAGTCAGTCATTTTAAAACGGAAGTCACAAAACAGATGAAATCTCCTGTTTCCAGGCTCAGTCTTACCCAAACCCTTCCTTTCTCACCCTGAAACTCTCCTGGGGTTGGGGACTGGGCTGTCAGCCACAACGCAGCTCCCCACGGGTGCAGGTCCCACCGGAGCCCCACGGGTGGGCAGGCAGGACACGGTGTGTCACGGCGTGGTGTCAGCCCTGCCAGCTCTGCCTCTCGCTTCCAGCTCGCTCCGAGAGGTACCGCCACTTGGATTCGGAGGATGAGGAGACCAACGACGAGGAATCATCCGTGGAGATCGGGCAGTTCTCCTCCTGCTCCCATCGCTTCAGCAAGGTGCTCCAGTCCCTCCTCCGGCATCCGAAATGACGGGCGCTGCGGCCAGCACAGGCGTCGGTGTCATGGCTGATGCTGGAGCACCTGGGTTCCCAAACTTCTGCTCCTTGCTGATGGCTCATCTCCTGCTCAGGTGTACAGCAGCTCCGAATTCCTGGCAGCTCACTCCAACCTCAGCCTGTCATCCTCCGACCGGAGTCACAGCGAGGACAAAGAGGAGCGATGGGACCGGCACTCGGGAGACGAGGACAGGAGCCGGGTGGCAGGCGCAGAGCCCCGGTGCGTGGGGGGATGCAGCGCTGATGTGGGTTTGTGCCGGCACTGGGGGTTTGTGCCGACATCAGAGGTTTGTGCCAGCACCGAGGGTTTGCAGAGGTGTTGGTGGGACGTGCCTGGGGTGCTGCAGCGGGCAGGAGGGGAGCCACAGCCCTGCCGCGCTGCCCAGCACCTACAGCCTGGACACCATGCCCAAGTTTGCCTTCTCCTCGGAGGATGAAAGCCCTTGCGTTGCGTCCTCCAAGCCGGAGAGACCCAAGTTTGTGCTGGGAGACCCCGAGGCAGGGACCGGTGGCGTGGTGAAGCCGTCGGCGTTATCCGG